GGTAGTAAAACCAGCAGGAGGCTCCACCCACCTGCCACGACGTCATCATTGGTGATCTGCCCATGTGCGCACGCTCCCGTTGCAAACCGGTAGTAAAGGTAAGTGGTACCCACCCCTGGTACATGTATTAGCATATAATATAACTAGGTATTTAAATTTACTTTCTGCTGCATATTGATCAGCTCTGTTTCAGACCTGATTGTTTTTTATGGAATTTAGACGTGATCTGTAACTTTTTTCTGGCTGGACTAAACTCAGAAAGTCAGACAGAAGTTTTAGGCCTTGTTTTTCCACTGAAAATTTGAATGGCAGAAAAAGGACGTAGGAAGCTCAAAGCATATTGGATTCACAACAAAGATATTTTCCTCAGATGGCTTTTTCCTTAGATGGCATATTTGGGCAAATAGAAGACAGATCTGAAACAAACATGTTTAAGAGGGGTAGACTGTCCTTGGAGATAGTCAGAAGTACCAAGCAGTGATTCTCCTACTTTTGCAATTCAGCTTTGGAGGGGTTTATGGTCCTGTTTAGGTAAACAGCTTGTGACTGTTTATTTCATTACTGACCAATAATAGGCCACCATTGTTTAATACAGGTGTCTGCCCAGCAGGTGGGAAATTGAAAGAACTCTAAGTGTGATCCAGGAAAATGTTCTCCTCCTTCCTACACTTGATAAGGTGTCCTCTCTCTGTATGTCTATGTCGGCATTATGGCAGTTATTACTATACATTTAGCCTCCAGGAATCTCCACAGCAGAGTGTTTTCTACACTTTCACACTGCAGGAAACTAAATTAGCTCTTTTCCCCATTAGTTGAAATCAGGAGCTAACATTTGAAGTAACACTTTGTAGCAAATCTTCCACACTGTATGTCAACTCCAATCAATATCTCAAATCAGAGATGTTATAATATGTTAAATCTTTTCGGTATTAGTTGGTGCTTTCATAACAAATACATTTCACTTTCACTGGACTGATAAGTTGCCATCACTTTATTCCCGCTGCCAAAAAAAAACTTCAAAGGTGTTTACATATGCAGTTCTAAGACCTTAAAATGCAGCAGTTCTGCAAAATGTTCCCCAGGAATTGTTCCAATAATCAGAATGTCACCTAGATGTAAAAAAAAAAAGCTCTTTAGAAGAAATAATTTGAATTTCTACTAAAAGATCTTCCATTAACCTTCAGAATATCCTGCAGGTATTGCATATCCTAAATAGGAGCATACTGAAGTCAAATATTAATTGCCCAATAATGTGGTTTGTACTACTGTATGTGTGTGTGTGTGTGTGTGTATCAAATGTGAGTATTCCAACCTATTTCACCATTCTTAAGAAATGGGTTCCAAGCAGAACATCTGAACATAATTTTTGTAGTCACTAAGAATTCATGAGCCAGTTTTATGTCATCTACAGTAAGTCTGCACTTATTTAACTTATTCCACTAATAGGAAGGATAGACCATTGCAACTAATAACAATAAATTCAACCACAACAGGATACAGATATAGTCTTCAGAGGTTGTCCTCCTTTTACTTTTTGTGGCCGAGCCCCTTTCTATCAGATCTATGATTCTTTGCAAAACTATGCTCAATTGATAATAATCTCAACAGATTCCAGAATGTGGTCCTTATCAGCTTCATCAGCTTTTTGCTTGCAATTTTCCTTGCTTTAAGAACCAAAAAGAACCGTTCAACCACTACAGTGAGTAGTTTCAAATTGTTCACCCCAATCTGTCTGCAGATATTTCCAAAAGAGGCTTTTTAGGGTTAATCACTTCCACAGACCTTCTTTCATTCTGTTAATACACCGATAAGAGAGATGAAAATGCTTCACAGTGTCTTTTTCCTTAAGGACCAATTCCCATTTATTTTGCTACACTCATCCAAAGTCTTCTGGTTACTCTACCAAATGAATTAAAGCATGATTAAGATAGTAAGCTTATCCTTATAATGGCACCATTTTCTTTTTAAATATGAAGAAAATTAACAAGAGCCACAGAACATTATTTGCTGCTAATGTGATAGCAGTGTTTCTTAACCTTGGTAAGTTTCAAATATATGGACTTCAACTCCCAGAATTCCCTAGCCAGACTTGCTGGCTTGTTGACGTCCACACATCTAAAAGTTGCCAAGGTTGAGAAACACTGCTATAGTATATGCTGTGATTTATTGTTGCAATTGGTAGCTTTTATCTGTATTTTATGCTGCAGCCAAATATTGATTTGATTTACACTATATATATATTTTAACAGATAGACTTCCCTAGAAACTCTTGGGTGATTAATAATAATAGCAGCAACAAAAGTTTTTTTTGGAATGTAAAAACTCCATGACTAACCACTGAACGAAAGGGTTGAATACAAACAGGAAAATACAATAGTGAGTGAAGCATCATCTCTTCCTTATGGTCAACCTCCAGATGATTTGGACTGGAGTCGTCCAATACAACTAGATTTTAGATTGGAGATAGCTATGATTCAACATTCAAGCATCCGTTGATGGAAGTGGTTGGAATATGATTTCGTAGTAAAAAGCAAGTCCATGTGTCATACTAATGAAAAAGTTCAGATTTTATGATGCTCACTATTTGGAGATGAACACGGTTTTTCTTTTTTTAAAAAATATTTTTTTATTAAACTTATTTTTTGCTATCTTGCTGTCATGCAAATCCAGAATCAGCAAGATGGGCAGAAAATAAATTTAATCAAGATATCTATCTATCCATCCATCCATCCATCCATCCATCCATCCATCCATCATCTCATCCCACCTTTATTTTCATAGATAAGTCTAGGCAGCAAACATATCTAATATTCCTTCTTTCTCCTCTTTTTCCCACAACAACCCTGTGAGGTAGGTTGGGCTGAGAATGGCTGGCCAAAATCATCCAAGTAGCTTTCATGTCAAGTCACGACTAGAATTCATAGTCTCCTGGTTTCTAATGGTATCTTAGCCACTAGACCAAATACATACAGTATTAATTTGTAACTTAAACCATTCATTTTTTCCGTTCACTGAGAGAAAAGGCATGTTACTTTATCTTACAAATAACTTTGTAGGCTGAGATATAGTGAGTAGCTCAAGATCACCCACAGAGTTTATATGGCTGAGTAGTGACTTGAACCCGAGTCCATGTCTTCACTCAATTCTTTCTCTCTCACCAATGCCCAACACTGTAATTTAGCCATAATGGTTGGCTGCTAATGCTACAATTTACGTAACAAAAAAATCCTTTTATATGCAGTGTGTGGGTGATTTTAAACCCACCGCCCAAATCACAAAACAAGCATAGAATGTTTATAAAAATACTTCCATTGTGGAACCTAAGCAGGAAGCCCCCTTTTAAAGAGTACTTACAATTCAAATCTAATTAAACAACCATAACTCAAGAAGCAATGAATGAACTGGCTAATTGCAACAAGTGTTAATCAAATAAAGCTCAATCGGTAAAGCAGCATTTTGCATCCCAAGGTTTTATTTCCAGTTTAGAATTCTTTAACCAGCTTAATTCACGTTTGCTGAGGAGAGGGCCTCTTAAAGTCTTGAGTGAGCATCTCATCCAGCAAAAGTGTGAAACTAAGAAAAGCCTCCCTCACGGGAGTGGGGAGGGGGAGAGGGGGAAATTATGTTTTATGTTGTTGTTTTTAAGAAAAACTTTTTCCAAAACAGTAATCGAGAGAGAGAGAGAGAGAGAGAAATTACAAAAAGAAAAGGAAGGAAAGAATAAACACCCGAAAGAATCCCACGACGGTGGCTCCCACCCCCACCCCCACCCCCCATAATCCCCCAGCTAGCGTTTAATTTGAACGCGAATAGTCAAGGCTCCCCATTAAGCGAAGAATCAGCGAGAGAAAAATCACCGAGTGGCTTGCTTTCTAGCCGGGCTGCCTCTTTCCGAAAGCGACGGAGATATAAGAGGGGGCTGGGAGGGGAAGCGAGAGCAGCTCTCCAGATGGCTGGAGAAAGTGTTTGTCTTGGGTTACTCGAGGGCGGTCTGGACTTTTAAAGGAAGCAGCCGTGGGGAGCGGCTCGGCTTGGGAGCAAGTGGCACGTCCACTGGATAAGTGGGGGGGGAGGCAGGAAAAAGAAGGTAGCTTGTTGCCCGAGAGGAAAAGGGACCCGAGGATAGTTAACATATACTTGACCCCCCCCCCCCCCACACACACAAACCACCGTCCGCTCCGGTTTTTCCCTTTCCTCCCGACACAGATGTCTCCTAACTCTATCACCTCCCACTGCTTTAAGCCCTCCCTTCTGCACCTGGGTAGCTGAGCCAGGCCAGCTGCTTGCAGTCGGCTGTTTGACTTTAGAGGTGGCTGTAGTAGAGGAGGAGGAGGAGGAGGAGGGGAGCGAGTGTGTGGGGGGAGAGAGAGAAGAGACCCAGGCGCACTCACTCACTCACCCACGCACCCACCCACCCATACACGCGCGCACACGCACACACGCGGAGACAAACAAACAAGCGGCGGAGACGCTCCTGCAGGGCGGGTCTGCGCAGCCATTGCATGGAGCGGCTTGCCCAAGGCGGTCGGGCGCAAGGGAAGCCCGCCGATCTATGACTCGCCGCCTTCGCGAGAGGCAGCAAGCGGGCGCCTCGGCGTTGACAGCGCCGGACGAGCGGCTGCCGCTGGGACTTCGGCTCGCCTCGGCCCACACAAAAAGAGGATCTCCGGGGCGGTCGCCTGTCGGGACTCTCGGCTCTCCGCTTCCCCGCTTCCTTTTTTTTTTTTGCTTTTGCTTTTTTTGCTTTTTTTTTTTTTTTTTGCTTGCTTGCGCCGGGGATGATTTTTTTGCAACCCAGGTGTGATCGCTCCTGGCTCTCGGCGCGGCCCCTCCAGTAAAGCTCCCCGCAGCCCAACCAAAGCTTGCCCGGGCCGGAGGAAGGACAGCTGGACTTTGGGCTTTTGTGTTTTGTTTCCCGTTTTTTCCCCCCCACTTTCCCGGCGTTTGGACTCGAGTGCGCGGTCGTGTGGACCGGGGTCCTCCGGATTGGTGGGGGGGGGGGGGGGGGGGGTTTTTTTTTAAAAAAATAAAAAAAGAAGAAAGAAAGAAAGAAAGAGAAAAAAGCGAGGTTAGCCTTCTCCTCTTTCCTCGCTCGCCTTTCTCCGCCAGCCGGCCTGGGGCTGTCGGATCTTCCTCCAAGAAGGACGGGAACTTTTTATTTTCAGCTCTCTCGGCCTGTGGCGAATGGTTGGAGTCTCCAGTCCTTTTCGGTGTAAGTATCTCCGCCGCCGCCGCCGCCGCATCCCCGGCAAAGCGTTTATCGTTGATAGGAGAGATGAGCAGCGCTGTTAGAGCCTGGAGCTGCTTTGGAGGACCGGATTGTGGGGGCAGGAGGGGGGAGCCCTGAGCCTCTTCTCCACCCCTGCGCCGCTGGTTAAACTAAGCGGGCTCCAGGGGCAGCCTTGCAGCCTCTCCGATGGAGGCTTCTCTTCGCCCGCCGAGGGGAGGGTTGCTTGGCGAAAAGCAGCGGCGTCGGTTCTTGCCTTCTGGCCCGATCGACGTTTTTCTCAAAGCAACCCAGCGCAGGAGAGAAAAGTTTTCGCCCTCCGTTTTAAGTTCCGCCTTGCCGTCTAGATCCGGGGCGGCAAGCGGCGTGTTTCATCCAAGGCGTAAAATCTGAGCTAATAGGAAATAGACAGGGGTTTTTTTTTTCTTCCCCCTGTCTCTTTTTTCCCCGAGGAAAAAAGTAACAGCAGCGCCTCTGAGCATGTACCGAATGATTTCGTTGAACGCCGAATAATAATCAGAGCCGTGCAGTTAGGCGGGTTGGGGAGGGCTAACTGCTAAAATATAACGCTGATTTCTTTCCTATAAATGTGCTGTCCCCGTGGGAAGTTGTTCCTTGCTGGGTACGAGTTGGTGCGGTGCAAGGTTGTTTGATAGATTTAAACACCCGTAGTGATGGCTTTGCTATAAAGGTAATCATCAGGATATCTATATAGGGTCAAGCACGTTCTGCACCGAACACAATGTAGAAATGGGATCAAAAGGCACCCTTTATTTGCTTTTTTGCAGAAATGCATTTCAGGTAAGATGCACTGACTAGGCATTGCTTTTTCAAATCCGAAACTTTTATAAGTGTCACTACAATACATGTCAATATGTGGAAGGAGAAATGCACAAAACTGTGCACTAACCGTAAGAAAACGGGAAATTGAAAGTTCTAATTAAATTACTTTCGGAGATACTGGTTTTATGAAAAGGGGTCTGTGACAGGATGCAGTTTTCTAAATGTATTGCATGTGCCTAACTAGACATGTTTACTTATAAGTAGGAGTCACTGAGTTCAGTGGTCCTTCCAGGTAAGTGTATATCATTTAGGACAGATAGTTTATAAATCACTGATATGTTTTCTTTAAAATTATCACTATTCAAAAATCATAGAGGATATACAACTGATCACTAACCATTTTCATTGATTTGAAGTTTTATTCACTTTACGGTTAGGAGAGGCTGGTCAGGAAATCTCTTCAAATTATACTGGATTTAAATTAGCACATATGAGCCAGGTTTTCTTCTATTCTTTAGATGTAAGTGGAGTGTTAATTTATCCTTGGACCAGATAGGTGACTATCATCTGCTGAATTACACCTTTGAACTACTTTTTTTTTGACAGCACATCTGGAAATAATAGGGTAGTGCAATTGTGTGTATGTTACTTGGAAACAAGTCCCATTGCACTGAACAGGACTTACTCCTAGGTAAATGCATAAATATGCAGCCTTAGATTCGCTTTAGATTTTATATTGCATTTTATTAAAAAAAAAAGTGGGAGATTTCCTAAGATATATAACAAACTGGCCCGCCTCCTTGATGGATGACTTCTAAGTCTTGGAATGCAAAAATTCATGTACTTAATGTATCTCTGACCCCTTTAACTTTTAACATTGCTTCTCCTAATTAATCTGTTCAGGTCCCAGACTTAAATGGCTGTCTACAGCTGCTGAAAATTGATTTATTCCCTGATGGTGGTCCGAGTTGCTGACCAAATCATAATTTTTTCCCTTTCAGTTCTAGACAGATTTTTATCTATTTTGTTTAATGAATGCATAGTTTTAAAATAAACTCAAAATACCTTAATAGCAATTTCAGAATTTTATCACTTGAATATTTGTGTCATGTATTTCAAATACTCCTCAAATTAATACCTTTTTTAAACATGATGGCAATATTTGTTGAGAAAGATGTTTCTCATGCTGATCTGAAGGACTCTGTACTTAGTTTTTATTCAGCTAATTAATGATTAGAGAGACTGTAGAAAATAAATACCACCGATGGTATTCTTATACTAGATTTAAGGGTTGAATCATAATCGATAAATGATGAAAGCTATTGCTTTTTTGACAGACGCTGGAAAGATTAGTTTAAATAATTCTGGAATGATTTCCTGCGTAAAGCTAACAGACATGATCTTCTGTAACTACATTTTAAAAAGAAATTGTTTTCCAAAGACTCTTTTCTAGAAACCCAAGCTGAATATTTTTCTTTACTCAGAAGCACATGCCAATAACCAGTCATTAAATTAATGGCAGGAGATGGGGAGATAGGTGGCTTCTTCAGGCCTCACCAATGATGAAATGTCATTATATTCACAAGTATTTTCTTTAAAGTATTGGTATGAAACTTTTCAAGACGGCATATCAAATTTCATTGTGCATGATGAATCAGCTTGGTCAACTCTACCTCTCCCTTTCTAACTCCAGTACTGTACTGTGTAACGTTATAAATATAGTTTATTGTTTAGCTTGGAAAGCTTATAGCAGCAACTGATTGGGAAATCAAATCTTCATTCACATACAAATGAGAAATGCTTCACTTTCGAAATCTTGTGAATGAACCAATAGACAAGTAATAATTCTATTTTGCAGTGGAATGTAGTTAATGATATCCGGCCATTTCATTCTAGTATCTGCTGCTAATTCAGCTTGTTTTTCTTCAAAGGTATCCATCATTTCAGTGATTTATTTTATTTTTTATTTTATTTCATTTTTGTAATAGCATTTTCCCATTCCCATTGTTAAGCTACTTACTGCCGATGACCCCCCACTAAAGGACCACAAGTATACCTTTGACTGTATCAATTTGTCATCATGTTTCTGCAGCACATCATATCTTATGCTGACAAGTACTGTTTGTTGCATGGAAAAGGAAGCAGGAAGCTCAGGACACCTGAAATAGTGGTCAATGGCCAGCAAGCTTAAGGAATTCTCCTCTGTCAACTCCTATTTCTCACTGTTTTGAAATGGAACTCAGCTGACAGCCACTGAAAGGAGAACCACTGAGCTTCTGTGGAGCATTTCTTTAGCAGGCATTCTGAAAGTAGTTTGCATTGCAGACAGGGAAGCATTCTTGAAATTGGGGTTTGTTCATAACTTCAACATCATTTACTGCAGTCCCAGTGCTGTTAAATATTAGATAATTCCAAAGGATTTATAATTGGTAATCAGTGTGCCAATATGAACCTTTTTTTAAAAAAAAAACAAATATTTTCCAATGCCCCCATTAAGTTCAGTTTGGAACTATTCAACAGAAATAAAATAATAATCTGTTGTTCGATAAAGGTGATTTGTTCTGAATTGGCTCTGTCTAGAAGAAGTTTTTAAAAACGGTCTTTTTCTCAGAGCTCTGACTAAGGAAGGGATCGTTATGGGAGTTTTACTATCACATAAAAAGGAATATTACTATTAGAATATAAATGGACCATCTTTCATGGAAGAATGGACTCCAGTGTGATTTTTTTTTTAAATCTCCACATTCCTTTTAACATGCTGAGCACTGAATGATCTCACTAGACAAAAGCCTTCCAATACATGGCATAATTACTTTTTCACATGAATTCATACATTGTTAAATACAGCATTTGATTTTTTTAAAAATTGAACAATTATATTATAATTCAAGCTTGCTTTTATTTAAGGTTATAGGGGAATAAAAGTAGCAGTGAATAAGACCAGTATTTACAAATAAGAATAGTTAAAAGATTAATGGTTGTATAAAGAGAGACTTTGATTTAGAATTTATTAGCTTAATCTGATAGACATCAACATCCATCTTCATTATTTTTTTTTAACCTTTCTTGATAAGAAAGTTCTCAAATGATGTTTGAAGAGCAGTGAATGTTTTTATTAAAGTAAGCATTGCCTCGGCATAATGGAAGTAATTGTGAGTGATAAGAAGAGAGTAGAGCTCTGTATGTTGTCTAAACAGAAATAGATACTTTTGGTCTATTTCTAGAGCCCAGTTTTGCATGAAAAGGATCACCTGTTCACACTAATTAAAGACTGAGAAGAGGAAAGAAAGAAAGAAAGAAAGAAAAAGAAAGAAAGAAAGAAAGAAAGAAAGAAAGAAAGAAAGAAAGAAAGATTGAGATGTTTCCTTGCAATGAAATTTAATTATATTATTATGAAGTAGTGGTGTATAAACAGGACGGTCCTAATTTTGAAAGGAAGTAAATGCTATGTGGTTGCCATGGACTTGTAGTATGCATCAGAGATGGATGAGCTGGGGATGCTAAATTTACATTAAGCATGAATTTTAGTAGCAAATAATAACATTCCTCATTTTAATACAAGAGATGTAGGATAGTGCACAGAAATTCACTAAAATGGAAGAGGAATATTTTAATCCAAGTATGCATTTTCTATGCATTCTATTTAACCTGATTGTGTGGATACACATGATCACTAATCTTAGAGGACTAAAATATATACACTGTGCCATAAAAAAAGATCTTAGGAATTTCTACCACATCTGCTTATAGTAATTATGACCATAATTAACATAAGAATTACAAGCGAAGTGATGATGAGCTGAGCAATGAGGTATTATGGCATAATAGTCATATGTCGGTATTCTCACATTATTGCACACTAGAATTCACATATTCAATGCAAGAAAAGATGTTAGATTTCGAAGCATTAAGCAGCTAAAAAGGCCTCTCTGCCTAAGGCAGATGGACCTTTTTGATTTACAGGAAGGTAACCATTATTAAGAGAGAATCAGTTGAAATTAAGATTTATAGCCCCAAGCTTGAACTTTCAGACAGCTTTGATTATGAATGGTTCATCTCTTACACATTTTCATTCTGACCATCAAGTATATCATATATATTGCTTCCTTTTTTGTAAAAAAAAAAAAAAAAGTAATGGAATGTGTTAATAGATTTTTTTATCAAAAAATAAGAATACCTTATAAGGGCAGTGTATGTTGTAG